CTCTCGAGGAAGACTGTTCCAGACCACCCTCTTGGTAAAGAAATGCTCCCTCATGTCTAGTTGGAACCTCCCCTGGAACAGTTTTGAGCCATTCCCAGGTGTCCTATCCCTGGATCCCAGGGAGAAGGGCTCAGCACCTCCCTCTCCACGTCCCCTCCTTAGGAAGCTGCAGAGCAACAAGCCTCCCATTCTCCAAAGGACACAAGCCCAGAGCCCTCAGCTGTTTGTCACAAGATGTGCCTTCCAGCACTAGATCTGCCCTGGAGAACTGGTATTTTGTGGGAAAGGACGTTCAGAGATGTTAAACATGGAAAGCTGGATCCTGCTAAATCCTGCCCTTAGGACAGGAGAAGGTGAATGTAAGGGAAGGGGAACCTTGTCCTTGCTCCAGCCTGGAATTCCTCTGCAGACACATTGCTGGCTGGAGCCTCTTAGTGCCACCTCAGGCACTTTGTCATCTTTGTGGTGGCATCTGGGCACAGGCAAGAGTATTGGTCTCCCTGGTCTACTCCAGTAGCTGCAAAGAGTTGCAGCGCTGGGTCAGGCAGAGTTATCTTCCTCCAGAGCCTGCTCTAACCCTCTTCCAGTGGGGTAGGACCAAGATGGGACACCCACAGATCTGTGCTCACAGCAGGGCAGTTCCTACCCTCTGTGGGCAGGTGACAAGGGTGACAGGCTGGGCACAGGTCAGTGGGTGGTGAGCAATTGTATTGGACATTGCTTGCTCCTCTTGGGTTTTTTTACTTACTATTGTCATTAATATTATTATGTTTCACATTGTTTCAAACATTAAACTATTCTTATCTCAACCCACAAGTTTTTTTTTCCTTTTTTTCCCCCACCCCACTTTGGGGCTGTGTGTGACTGAGTCGCTGTGTGATGTTTAGTTTTCGGCCGGGGTTACACCACGACAGAGGTTCATGGCAGAAGGTTTGGAGATGGAGATGGAAGAAGATCTGTAAGCTTTGGTTCTGTCCCTTGTCCTGGGAAACACCACAAAGTGCTGTACATTGAGGGACACCTACTTCAATCAAGAAGAAAAAATTCCTTTCTGAAAGCCCGCTCAGTCCCCCGGACTGGAGGAAAGCTGGATTTTTCAACAGATTGTTGTCTTGGATCCTCTTCACTGGAATTCTGTGCTTTGAAGGGGGAGAAAAGGTTTAATGGGTTCCTGTTTGCTGTATCCCTCCCAAAATTAAATATACTAAAAGAAAAATCAACTCTTTGGGAGCTGAGTTGCATAATTGCAGCACTCTTTTTTTAAACCTTTTTGTTTGCTTTGACAAGGTGTGGTGGTTTTAATCTAGGCCTTCCCTGGTTACCAGTTTGTAACCGGGGAAGGGGCAGTGTTCCCAGTATTCCATACGATTTTTACTCAAATCGAGGTATAAATAAGAAGGGAGGTTCAGGAACAGTGGGTCCCTGCATTAGTTTCACTTATCTAAGGCTGAGGCCTGCAGCATCCACTGGCCTGCCACGTGGAGGCTTGGAGAGTGCTGGCCATGTGTGTGTCAATCCTGTTTTTTTCTAAGGGACATGGTGAGATTTGTTTTACTAGTTATTTTACTAATTCTCAGGTTTGATTGCATATATCTGCTCAGTGTCCCTTTTTTGTTTCCTTTTGTTCCTTTTCCCCTTTCCCTATTCCTTTGGGAGGTGTTTGGATTCCCTTTTGCTGTGTACAAAGCATCTTAACTGTAATATACATAAAATATATATTTTTTTATATAACTAGCTTGGTTTTTGGGTTCTTAAATTTGCATGGTTTTTTTCCTTTGCCCTGGGGGAAGTAGGAAGGGGGAAGAGAGGAGCTGCTACTGAGGGGGTTGAGCATTTGGCAGGGAGCCAAGTCCGAACCATCACACAAGGCTAAAGCCTTGTCCAGGACCTTGGAAATGCATCCAGCATTGGTTCTGCAGTGCTCTGAGGGGCACTTTTAATGTGCAGCTTCACAATTTCCACCCCAGTCTGCAAGAGAGCTGTGACCAAGCTCTGAAACACGTCCAGGGCCGGGGGCTGAGGGCAGGGCTGGGGCTGCACAGGATGTTGGGGCTCTTCTTTGCCCCATGGAGCAGGGAACGATGGCTGCCCAGGTCTCTGCCCTGAGGTTCCTTCTCCATCCCTGGACAGGCATCCTGCCCCACACTGCCCTGCAGGCCCTGCCACGGTGCTGGCCTGGATGGCTCTCAGAGGGTTTTGTCCAGCTTTGAAACCTTCAGCTGGGGCTCCTGGGGCAGGTCAGGGAGCAGCCCTGGGCAGCCAGGATCGGGGGTCACTCTCAGGGGTCAGCTGGGCTCTGCAGGCTCGGTCCCCCCAGTAACAACACAACAGCCCAAAGTTTGTCTCACTTTTATTTACATAATTGCACAGCCCGTTTCCCCATGACACTGGAACGTGTTGGGTCAGACACTGATTTCCCACATCCACAAGCTGAACATCTCCTCTAGGAAGGAGGTAAAGACTTAAAGAGTGGCTACTGGGTTTTGCAGGGGCACATGCAACAACTCCAATTATTGGCAACGACAATAAAGTCAAGGAAGCTGAGTGCAGCCGTGGCTGCCCTACAGCACAGGGCCCCCACTGCCCCAGCCAGGGGCTTCTGGCTTTCACAGTTGCATATTAGGATCGACAGTGGGTCTCCTAACTGGAACACTGGCTCCATTAAGTCCTTACTCGGGGGATGTGGTGTGGGAGTGCACGTCCCTTGTCACCGGCCAGAGCTCGGTGCAAGGCCAAGCTCCTGGGAGGGAGCCAGGGATGGGAAGGTGAAACCACTCCCCCATTTTTCTCCACTGAGAATGTCCTGGTGACAAGGGGTTTGTTGGGAAGGGCCTGAAGGAAGGGGCACCCAGGACAAGGCACAGGGCAGTGGTGCAGTGCCCGCTGCCACGGAAGGGTGTGAGGAGCGGAGAGTGCCTGGGTGGGAACAGGATGGGACTGGAGCAGGGACTGGGACTGGGACTGGAGCTGGGCTGCAGCAGCCCCTCCTCCAGGAGCACCAGGGGCAGAGTCATCCCTGCACGACTGGGAAAAGGGAAGGTGCCCGTGGGTATGTGGCAGAAGGGAAGGGACAGGCGGGGGGCTGGCCAAGAGAGGGGAGCAGAGATGGGCAGCCTTGCAGAGATGGGCAGGGGATGTTCCCCTGTGGTCACACGAGCCCCTCATGCTCAGAACAGAGACCAGTTCGGAGCAGCCCACAGGGACCCACCACTGGGCACAGAGAGGCTGCTGAAAGATGTGCCAGGGTATCCCTGAGTTGCACGAGAACCCTGGCACAGAAGAGGGAGGAGAAGAGCCAACAGAACCCAGGACTGGACAGATCCTCTTGGGATCCACCAGAAACTTCCAGCCCAGAGTCATGAGACATGTAAGGAAAAACATCCTGCTTTGCAGCTAGAGTGGAGGAGGAGGAAGAGGAGGAGGAAGGATGTGGGGTGCTTTGAATCCAAGAAATGACAGGTCTCTAGCAGGGCATGGGGTTCAGCAAAGGGGCAGAGGGACACAGTGTGTCACACACATCACCACCCACTGCAAGGACACGGGCACCTTGGAGCCTGCCTCCTCTCTGCTCTCTGCCCTCACCATTGGGAGCAGAGCTCAGGCTCCAGCCAAGCACACCCCTCTGGAGAACCCGGTAGGGCAGTGGCAGCACCAGCATCCTCACAGCCTGCACCACACAGCAGGCTCAGGGGAGCTCAGCACCACGCACGGGCACCACATGGCAGGGTGGCAGAGAGGCAAGGACCAAAGCCAAACCAGGGAGACCCTTGGCAGACGGGGCACTCTGAGACAGAGGGTTTTGACAGCTGAATGTGCTGGAAACGCAGGTGGAGGAGAAGGAACCCCAGCCCCACAAGAGAAGGGACCCAAACCCATTCTCTGGGAACCAGCGAATTGGGAGAGTTTCACTAGAGGACACAACAGGCAGGCAGTGCTGTCAGGGATGAACTCAATCCCAGCAGCTCCTCTGGAATGTGCAAATAAAGCGCAGAGACAGCCAAGAGCACCTGCGTCCTGCCAGTGCCGCAGGGCATGGCCTGTCCCCTAAGGTACGTGTGGAACTGATGCTACGGGAGGTCCAGCCTCAGGATGGTGAAAGGACATCAGCAAACGGAAACTTCAGCCTTCTGGGGTCAGGAAAGGTCCTTTCTCAGTCGTTTAAAACCAAAAGGCAATGGTGGGCTTAGCTAGTACAAGCCATGACTCTCCACCCTTGGATCCTCCATCTACCTTTGCCAGACATACCAAGAGCTGAGTGCATCCGAGTCCTGGGGGTGAGCCAGGACAGGCAAGGAAAGCATTTTGTGAGATCACATCTGCACTGGAAAAGATCTCTCTTTTTGAAACTTATATCTCAAAATTACAGTACTTTACAATACAAAATGTCTCCATTCAGTATTATGTCATTTTACTCCTTCTGGGATTATAATAATTATTAAAAACACTCAACTTTCTAGAAAGGACAGAACACCATGAAAGAGACCAAAGAGTAACGGGAAGGCTGCTGCAGTATTATCAAAAC